AAATCGAGATACGCAGCTACCCTGCCAAAGAAGAACTCGTTTCGTTTATGGCCGAAATTGATCCTTCGACAAATCAGATCGGCATCGACGTATCGATCTGGCAGTGCTGCCGATGTTTCTCAGGAGATTAAATTTATCGGCCAATGCGAAATCGCACTTAATTCTCGCGACACCGGAATACCTTCCATCTTGCCCGAATCGAAATTCTCTAATCACATCATTCAGCAACGAGATTGAATCTTGCCCTCTAAATAAAGTCGAAGAAGTTGACATTTGCTAAAAAATATATGGAAAAAATATATAGAAATATTGCTCCTCTCCTTTCGTTTTTTTTTTCTCTTAAATATATAAATAAATAAATAAAAATATATATAAATATTATATATTAAAAATTATAAATATAATATAAATTATAAATATTATAAAATTATAAATATAATATAAATATGTATAAATTAAATTAAAATTTTCCCGAATTTGATATATTTCTTAAAATCGATCGAGAAGAATAAAATGATGCAATAGCCGAGTAGTCGTTCAAACTAATGGAATACGAGACGATGATTTTTACAACATCCATGGGAAACGTCCATCATGCGTCGTATAGCGCGAAGCATTTCTGCCGATCGTAAATCGACGCGAAGGCGAATGCAAATTTACGATCGTTCTTGAGAAGTGCATTTGAAGAATATTCCGGCATGCGAAAGTTGATCGTGCGGCGAAACGACGCACATGTCGCGTGTTAATAAAATTGATGACTTATTGTTAGATTACTAGAGTTTGTAGATACGTTTCGCCAAGTACCGACGTAATAGAAGGGACGACGAGTGCGATAAGACGTATCGGGAAAATGTCTCGAAGAGATCGTGACGAGAGCGGATTAAACGGAGTGGAAGGCGTAGAAAAATATAAAATCGCATAGATTGGTAAGAGAATAGCGCGCAAAATGGCTCCATTTCGCTGTACTTTTATTTAATATATCGCGTAATCTTCTCACGTCGAATTGACTTTTTACCTTCATTCGTCATTTCGCGGCGAGGCGTAAGAAAGTAGGATCAATCGTGGCGAGAACTCGTGACAGCGAGGATATTTAATGATGAACCGAATAATTGATTTTACTGACGCGTCAAAAGTAACGACATTTATTCAATAGAACGATTTGCAACAAGAATGACAATCGTTAATTATACACGTCATCGCGGAACATCCCGAAATTGTCACGCGACTATCTTGATTGATCCCGTAATAAGTATATACGCGTTCCGTCTCTCGGGCGTGCAAATCTACGGAAACCACAGAGGGAAATCTTAAGTAAGGAGGGAGTACGGGGGGAGAGTCGACGGCTTAAATCGGTACTCGATCTTAACTCTCGCAATCTCTGCGCGTGAACAATTCGCTGGCGCGAAAACGCTATTAAATGTTGTGCGACGGAAATTGAGTTCCGGACACGCATACACGCACGATCGCATGCGTAGGTGCATAGTTATGTGCGTATACGTTTCCTATCGCGTGTATGTAGGGGGTGACGGTTTTGTAAGAGGAGGATCCGCGCGTCGCCGAAGAAGGAAAGACAACCGAGACGACGGCTCCTCCATTAATGTGTAATGCACTTTAGGTCCTCTTAAGCTTTATAAAATTTTCCCGTTTTATATACGTACGTCGACTCTTTCGTAAAAGGGAACTCTTATTATGTCGATTGTCAATGCTGCACTTTCTATTCGAGAGAGAAGAGTTGCGTGAATATTTTTTTGTTTTTTTTTTACTTTTTATTATTTTTTTTTTTTACGAATCGAGTCTTGATTTAGCGATTAGCGATTAGGAATGTGTATCTTAGTGTAAGTCAATCATAGTGCGTCTATCTCAGGTCTTGCGCATTGATGATGGTTTCGCGCAATCTGAAATTATCATTATATTTTTGATAAAAATTTAATGATATCGTAGATTGTCACATTTCATAAATTTTTCGTGATTAATTTGCCTCTAAAAATGTTTGACACTTTAACATTTTAACATAATTTCTTAATTTGTACATGACGTTGGAGAAATTTTTCAAAAGGGTCTCTCTCTCAAGTCAAGATTTCATTCAACCAAGTTTCAATTTTCGCGTATGAAATCTTGGACGTCGCCTCCAGATTCAAAGATAAAAATGAATAATGTTTCGAGAAAGAATTGTCCGCAGAGATCTCATTCCTCCATCCGAAAAATCGAGTCCATCATCGCCAGTGAACAAGACCATATTTACTCGTACAGATTTACTACACACATAGAATATATATCAATATTATTAACACGTTTTAATATATATATAATTACGCGTACATGTATATATATATATATAGAAATATCGTGTTAACGGATATCTTCCTGTTTTTCTTCCTCGTTTGAAATTGACTTAATCGTGATAGTTGCGATTGAAGCACGTAGAGAGTAAAATCGCGAAGCGAAAAAGGGCCTTCGCCTCTTGCGCGTCATGGAAGGAGCCGAGATGTGATATGTACCTAGCCTAATATAAATATATATATATATATGCACGAGAGCACGTGTTTTTTTAATTGTCTCGACGACGTAGAAAGCGTTCTCCGATCTCCCTCGATTTTCAATCGTCAAATCGCTAATCCCGCGCATTATTTTACCGAGTAAAAATAACGAGCGCGGATACATTCGTCCGTTAAATTGCTCAATTTTGCCTGTAGCAGGAGGCCCACCACCCCACCGACGAAATCACTCGCGACGCGATTTCCGCAAAGAGAGTTTGTGCCGTTTTTTATCCTACCAAGCTACATATCTCTAATTTGTATCTACATAATTTATCTAGAGAGGGAAATCGATCGAGTCGGTGAATTCGATGACGAGTACCGCGAGCGGAAGCAAAGAGACGAGAGAACGCAATCGCGCGGATCAGAGAGAGAAAGCGAAAGCTTTTTTTTCTTTTTTTTCCTAATAAAAACACACAATTGGTCGAATGCTATCACTAATAGAGGCTAGTCTATCGTCTCCGTAGAGATGAGTATACACAATTCGAGCGATAGATATATATATATCTTCCTTTACGACCAGCACAGTCCGATTTAGAAGACGCGACGTACGAAAACGCGACGCTGCCTTACACGAGAGAGACCTTATCTACGTATCTCGCTGGCGGAGAATAAGCAAGGGATGCGCGATTCGCGTGTTTCCGCGAAAAGATCTTTACGTACGTTGGAGCGACATATTAGTAACACATTGTGGTCCGATTATCGTTGTTCTTTGATTAATACGATAGGGAGACGGAGGAGGTCTATCTCTCTCTTTTAGCGCGTACTATTTCACTTAAGGTGATGCAGTCACACCGAGTAAAACCAATTAATTTTCATGTTAATTAATTCCGAGGCTACCGATTAATTTTCATAGAAACGATTCATTTTATTTGATACTATCAGTTAGCATTAGTGTTATTAATCAATATTGGTACAACCTATCGATTGATTACATCGACTAACTTTAATAGGAGCGGTTAATTTTGGTATTATTAATTTTAATACTACTACATCTCGGAGATTGGCATCATCCATTAAGTTTGATCTTAATTAAGCTGATACTATTCGTTAAGTATAGTATCGATAGATAACTTTTACTCGACGATGTCAAACGATATTTTTCCTACTCCATAAACTCTCTCCGCCATTCTTTTATTCCACATTTCTCCTCTATTAGTTTGCATTTATATATAAACTAATTACTGAATAACTACACACAATGAACAATTCGCGCAATGATAGTGTGTACAATAATTTAAGAATTCCTAAATCATTGCACGCTCTTGACTAGCCCAAAGTACTTGATTCTTTGAACTTGGAATAAACACGCTCGCCATTGTTTTTATTTTATAATTAATGTCTAATATATTTTATAGATATATGAAATATTGTTTTGTATAAGTCGTGCAAAGAACACAAAATATTTTTATATAACATTATATTTTTAAATACGAAAAACATTGAGCTAATCCTTCGTCATTGCAGTTTTTTTGACAAAAGGAATTTTTTGTCAATATGCGAAATAAAATCATTTAAATTTATAATTAATCTCAATTATTTTTATATTATCTCCCTGTATAAACTTTTTGAAGATTTTAAATACATCTCCATCTTTTTTAATTATAAGACATTTCTGTAAGATGTACAATCTGAGATGTTATCGTTTTAAGATACTCGTCATAATTCTATGTATATTATTAAAGTCTCTGGATATACACACATATACACACATATATCTCGTTTCTTTACGAAACCCGTACAACGCAGTTCTCGAATGCACTTTATTCATCAAAGCACTGCAGTGGAGTCCACTTCAATTAATAAATTTAATCCGAATCAGCGTCACAAGCATTCCGTAGCTTATGACATCGTGATGCAAAATTTTTTAAAATTGCATTCGCCCATTTTGTTGATTGAGAAAGAGATTGCTTCTAATTTTTTTTATCTGTTATATAATAACCGCGAGCAAATGGCACTGAAGGATTAATTGGAATTTTAATTAAAATCCTTTTTCCTCTCATATATATCTCCTCGGTCTCATTTATAATGATTAATTTTAATAATATTTCCGATTGAAAAAAACCGACAAATTCTTACGCGTTTTATAATTTTACTTGTGTCGCGAAGAATTTTTATATCCAATATTCGATATATTATCCGTTTACGATTATCAATTAATTCAATAATATTACTACACTAATTGCTCATCAATTTGCTCACATTTTACAAGATAATATATAAATAAATAAATAAAATATTCTCTAATATTAATACGGAAAATAATGTATCTCGAAAGCTAATCTGAGATCACACATACGATAAAGATTTCGTAAATATGTTCAGATTTTGTACAAGTTATAAATTATTATATCGAAATAATTCATATATTTTAATAATTGAAATGTAAAACTGAAAATATATGTTTCCGCAAAATTTCGAAAAAAAATTGATACAAGTATTTTATTAGATAATTATCACTTGTAGATATCTCAACACACAATAGTTTATATTTGCAGTTTACAGAGAAAGCTAAGTTGTGTATTTTGATATTTTATAAAATCTTTTTCTCAAGCATTCCTCAATTACTCCGATTTTTGCGTCGTACTTCAAAATTCTTTATAATTGTAGTCTATATTTAATAATAAAAACACGCACAATTGAAATCGGAAAATTAATATTTGTTCTAATTATCTAGTCAATTTTATATATATTCGATCGTTAGTAGATTCAAGAACAAAAAGCTTGTGAATCAGTGCAATGGGTTTTTTTTATCCCCTAGAAATCCGCACGGATCACAATGTGTTGCAAGCGCGACTTAAGCCGCTTAGTACGTGAGAATTTACCGCGCCACATGCAACGCTACATGACAAAAAAAGTTGCCCGGTAGCTCGCCGTGAATAGCGATAACAATTATCGGTGGCATTTACACCCTCAAATCAAGTTTGTCCCTTATATCGCACAACAGCTGCTTGATCAATTCTCTTTAAAGTTTCACGGCATATCGCTTGCACGTGTCGTTGCTGGTTTCCTTGTTCGATGGAAGCTTGTGACGCGTGTTCTCTAACGTGACCCAGAGAATATGTCTCGCTGGACTTATTAATTAACATAAATACGAAAATCTACATATTATTTAATATAGATAAAAATTACAATCTATTTTTTATTTTAATTTATTCTCGTCCTTGTTTAATTTTAACCTTGAAGATGAATTATCACTGAGAGTCAACAATAATTCTGAATCTTCGTGGACTTTTCTTGAAGAAAAAAGAAAAAAGATTTTTAAACACATATGTTATTTTACCTTCATCGCAAAGTTTCAAAAAAATCTGTGTGCACATGAAAGAATTCATCATTATATGAGTAATAGTGAAAAGAAAAAGATTTTCTGATACCGCTTGTGGCTCGTGCAAACCACAAGACATATCTCAAAACTATCGGAACCAGGTAACGAGGCAATTACAAGCAATCTGCAACGTGCGTCCCAACATGCAGTGGAACATTTACAACGGTGTACACGATAGTTCGAGAGGATAAATTGATGACGTTACATGTATATATGTGGGTGTACCGCGGACTCAACTATTGCTTTCTTGAAACCAATCATGCCTAAATATGCATACGGCATACGTGCAGTTAATTCTGTGCATTATGAGAAAGCGTTTTCCAAAACTGCTTCCTTAAGGAAGAATAGAAATCACGCGCATTCTGTAAGAGAGATTTCAGCTTGAGATATTTCCTTTTGGTTTTAAAGAGGCGACATTTCTTATGCAAATACTCGGAATTCAAGGAAATTCCGTTCAATTCGAAAATACTCTTCGATGAGATAACTTACCTTGACTCGACGCGAGATAGAACAAATACCGTCTGTGCATTTTCATGCGAAGCATAACGTATGCGAGAAACGTCATACGGTTACGTTATTGTATTCGATACAGATCTTTGTTCGTAAATCTTAAAATATATACACGCGCGAACCACATTAACCCCGGAGCACACTGTGTTTCTCGCGGGCACCATTATGTCAAATATATTCTACATAAAGATATACATATATATGTGTGTGTATGTACGAGAAAGGAAAATAGAAGAAAGAAATCGAGGAGCCTTCGATCCGGTGAAAAGCATCGGAAACATTTGTGAGCGTCGACGAGCACGCTGTCGATTGGATTAAGACGGCCATTATGTGGTTATCAGATTGATCCTCTTTATATCGATTGGCGCGATAAGTGGACTTGACATTTTTTGCTTTCCGCTTTTCATAATTACGATGTGATGTAAAGATTACGTAACATCCGTATGTGATAATGATTAAAGTCGTATCGTATTATTTATTACGCGTAGAAAATATGTCAATCATCATTACGGGAAAATCGATTTCGTCAAATGTCAGTTAACTTTGACCGCAGGCTGATTTAGCTCCTTGTCCTTTTTTTAATTCTCTAAAAAAAGACGGAGAATCGATAAAGATTAGATTAAAGTTAACCGAGATGCTACATCTAGACGATTATGATTTGTTCGTATCTTTATAACGCCAATTACACGTGCTCTATACGACTTTCTCGCGATAATCAGGATACATACACGTCGGAAAATCTAGTACACATGTGTAAGTAATTTCGGGAGGAACAATAGCGAGACGAAATAGCGAAGCGCAACGGCGAAGAATGGTTTAAAATCGCGTAGTTTGTACGGAAATTTTGGCCGTCCGGAAATTGACTCCCCCTTTTATCGCCTTATAAAACTTCTCCCCCCCAAAGTTTCGTGGCATTTGCTTAATCCACGCCGCGTGTCTCGCGGAAATCCAGCGGATACACATGAACCGTACTGAATACTAGACCACATCCGTTGCACGTAATAACTGCTGTATCCAGTATCGATTGCAGCCTAGGATGACGCGCGTGCTGGTCGACGATGCAACCGACGTAGGGCTCTCTCGACATCGGGCCGCACCGATATAAAATTAACGTATCTTCTCTTAAGCGATATTGCTCCCCCCGTCCCCTCTATCTAATTACCTCGACGTTTACCTCGTAATTCGCGCAATTCGTTGTGTTGCCACCTCGCGCGGCGAACGGTCAGGACGACAGGGCCCGTATCGGCGCAACAACACGTCGATCTTACGTCGACCTACGATCGATCCGTGCAGAGGCCTGAAAAAGTGGGACGTGCGTGCGATCGCGACACGCGCACGCAAGTGTCTCTCGCATTCGTCTCTTAGATTCTACGACGGGCGACTTGGCGACGAGCGGATCTTCGCTTCCTCACTCACTTGTCTGATTCACGCGAGATTCTCCGTTCCTGGTCCATCGAGAAGATCGCCTCGGGTGATTTCAAACCGACTGCACCGGCTTTGGTTAATCCTGGTCCTGATTCATCCTCTGATGCGCTATTTTTTCTTCATTTTATTTGAACAAGTTTTTATTTAAAAGTATAATCGAACGAGAGAGGGAGAGAGAGAGAGAGAGAGAGAGAGAGTAAATTGATGCGACTCTTAGAGCGTAATCTGATGAACGGAACTTTGCGGAGCAGTGGAATCTTGTGAAATGGAGTGGAATGGAATGAAATGAAGATTAATGATGGCCATCAAACAATAACTTACACGAGATTCAAATCACAGTTTGGCTTTGAGCTGTTCAAATATATGAATAGGATTAGAAAAACAAGCGCCGTGCAATGATTCAACGGAGAATTCACGAGACTCAAATCGGATTAAATCGTATAGTTGGTTTTGAAATTATTCAAATACATTTGAGATATTTCCTATCCTACGCTTTATGTGCGTACATAAAAATTTGCTCCGTTTTATATATAAATGACACTATAGAGAGAGAAGATCAAGTGCTTGTGTAAATACTTGCAAACATCTGTCCGTAACAATCCAACAATCCAATTTGAAGCGAATTAATGTATGATGCGCTTGAATTATTTACCCTAATTCTCTATTATAACGAGATTAAAGCGCTCGCGAAAACAATAGGCATCTAGTAAGATCCACCGCGAGATCTGACCAACTTCTGGGCGCTATTGATAAATCCGGAGTGAAATTAGAATCGCGATATTAATATCTCCAAAGTCACTTCTGTGCGAAATTGTACGGAACTACGAAAGTCCTTATGTCTCCTGAAGCGCATCAGAGGATTAATTTATGCTCTTCGTCTGTATTATTAGACGGGAGTATAGTTTCGTCGGAAAGAGACGACGAATGCCGCACGTCTAGGACCGGTTAAGCCAAATTGTCGGTGCAAGCGCGAGCTTTGAAAGCCACCGGCGATCCTCCGTGACGACCAACGTTGTCACTTTCCTCTCCCGAGAGAACTGAACATTCCAACACCCTCGCCTCTGCCCCCCTGATTAATTCCATCCGGTCCGAGGAAATTCCTGAATTCGCACGACGAACCAGCGTGTGAGTGCAGGATTCACCCTACTTGTCGACGATGAGTTCGCAAAATGGACAGCAGGGCTTTCACAAAATGCTAATTAGATCCCTCGTCGTCACCAGTGACGTCGTTCCTCCGTTCTCCGTGTGTTCGCGAGGCTATCTTTTCCTAGGTCCGATTATCACCATCGTATTACTGTCGTCCGAACGAAGATCTGCGCGTACAGCGCGCCATCCCCTTGAAAACTTTTCCCTTTTTCAAATTCGAGCAAGACTCGATTCGACTCGTTGTCCCTCCTTTTCGTTCATCGATCATCCTTGATCATTTTCCTCGATCTCTTGCCATCTTATCACGGTTCGTGTCCTCCCATCGGACACGAGCGACGGGACTTGTTGTCGAATCGCCATAATAATATAGCGTATACGTCATAATTAATTGGAAATTTTCTCGGTATTTTATTCGGTACGTGTACGTGTTGAACGATGGCGCGTGTGTATGCGAGTGTCGACTTTGGTGGTGGCTTACTGTTGACGTTCCGTTGTCGTTGAATTTTGGGAGAGTCATGAGAACTAGTGGTAGTGGTGTGTATCCTCGTTTACGATCGCGCGTCGGCGGCTCCGGAAAGAAGGCGACGTCGGGATTAAGGGGCGAGCATCTTCGACAGCTCCTCGTCCTGGAGGCAGCCCTTCAGGAATTCGTCTTGCGTCAGCTGCCCGTCGTTGTTCTCGTCCATCTTTGCGAATATGTTCTTCGCCCTCTCCTCCGCGCTGTCCGCCGGTCTATTGCTCGAACACGCGCCGAGCATGTCGTATATCGCCTGGGAACAGAAGGACAATACTTTGTTTCTCTCTACGTGATACTCGGGCTCACGTAGGATCAAACGTATATGAATGTATGAACGTGTCTCTGTCGCATTTTCCTGAAAACCATTTCGCATATTTTGACATAATATTTATAAAATACATTAAAAGACAATTTTATATCAATATTTTGGGAAAACGCTCAATTTTCTCCATAATTTTAAAGTAACGGTTTTTCAATTTTGCTTTCCATTCACAAAATGATATTTTCGTTTGAAGCCATTGCTACATTTTTTATCATAATTCCACCCGATAAAATATTAATTTAATATAATAAAATAAATTCACATGTAAAAGCGCTTTATATCTTTTATAATGAATTATAAAAACATTGGATATTAAACTTGTGTATAATACTTCCTTTAAAAATATCATTAGATATTTCTCATCGACTTCCGCATCTAATTAAGTTGATGAATAAAAGAGATTATCATCTTACATAATATAAAATAATATGAGTTACATACAAATGATTTAAGTACAATCAGGCAGGAGTTTTATATCGATTTTAATCTTTTTGTAATGCAGAATGTACAAAAAGTTCACGTTCACTTAAATGCAATAATGATATCTAGTTTTATATTTTAAAAAAATATCATTTTTTACTGAAAAAATGCGGAGAAAAATTGTAGTCAAGGTTGTGCGTTACATAAATGAAAGTCATAAATCACGAAAGCCATTCCTGTCACGGTTTTTTAAACGGAAGTCTATCTTAAATTCATCACGAGAAGATCGAAGGTTGCGTAACTCAGACCACATCCTTATAAAAAAAGAACAGTTGATCTGATTAATGATTCGACGAGCATGGTTTTGTTATATCCCGTCAAAATGTAAGTTAAGCGTAAAGTTACGCGTCATCTGTTCATTACTTGAATAATTTTTCATTATATAACAACAACATGTTATTATTTCTTTTAATAAAAGTTGGAGAATAATTATTCAATAATAGTATAACGATTATTTCGAAATAACATAATTTTTTATATGGTCGATTTTAAATAAAAATTCAAACTTAAAAATTTTTTTTAAAATCTTGTTTATCTTGTAGAGAAAATTATCAATTTAATTTAAATAAAGACTCAATTATTGCAAAGCATAAAACAATTTCCACTTATATCATCCGATTCTCGTATACTCATTATTATGAAATAAATAATGCATTTTTACAGCTGATCGAGAATAACTAATAAGTTTAAAATTAACTTATACTCAGGATATACTTTATCTTTCTAAAGCATGTGATATTCACGGTTGAGTAAAACTTGATAATTTGTGTATCGCCCAAAAAATATAATTTATCACCTAATCGATACTTTGAATCACTAAAGCACACACCCCACTAATTTTTTATTTACAATCTCTTCTATCTTTCCAATTAATCTACTGTAAATCGCTCGGACAGAGATAAACGTGTGGAATTTATTATTTTTCATCCAACTACGTGAGGTAAAGCAAATTAATTTTATCTTGAACTAAACCAGCTGGAGACGATTATTTAAACAAAGTTAATCCTCTTTCGTGTCTGTCCACATAGTGTACATATATCCAGAGAATTAAATCAATTTTAATTACAATTTTATAACAAACTATATGCGAGATTAATTTGTGGGAAAACATAATAGGAAATTCAAACGTGTTGTCATGTAAATTTGAAATATAAATTAGCAATGTTTCATATAAATGATAATATTGTGAATACGATCAAACTATATATTCTGTTATAAGCTGTCATGTTGTCCTCGTTTCGAAAATTATTTAATTTTGCTTAGAGATTATATAAAATATCATCTTTTTATAACTTGTGTCTACTTCATTCTCAATCCTGCGAGCTACATATGAATGAATCTGTCAAAGTACAATTGTTTACTCGCGAATATTCCGTTTCACAATTTAACACGTCTAAAGTCTGAAGTAACATTTTTGAAACAATAAACTTGCTTGTAGAGATATCAATAACAGCCACTGTTATTCCCAGAGTTTCAACAATAGAGTGAAGAGTCAATTGAGTTACAGAAACACGTTTCACGACATAAATGTTCACGGATTTAAGTGTTGAATACACGAAGGCATTGAGTTTCGTCAAACATTCCGTCGTTAATTTTCATTGCGCGCGGAAAACTTCCGGTTGCCGGAATTCCCGTGGTAACGGCGTTCCGGAAGTTCCAAACTTCTAATAGCATCGAGATGAGTATCCGAACGGACGCGGGTAAAGCAACTCGACTAGCTTTTTAACGATGACGATAACGTATCTCAAAAACGTTGAAAGAATCTTTCTATTATCGCCTGGGAAAAAACTTTTTGTCGATAATTAAAACGCTTTAATTCTCTCAAGATGTAATTTTCTTATTATTTAAAATTTCAAATATTGTTTTATTTAGACGCGAGGTGATTGCATCGATTTTTATTATAAATGAAAAGACGGATGTGTACGAGTTCTGTAGAAAATTAAGAATATTTTTGAAGCATTTTTCTTTTATAACTTTTAAAGAATCATGTAATGTAATGTACACAAATATATATGTATATTAATTAAAAATAATATTGATGTTTATTCGATATTAATAATTTGACAATACATTATTTTAATATCGTATTGAGTAAGGGTTTTTAACACATTGATGAGAAAACCGACCGTTACCAATATCGCTTTTATTACGTAATTTTTGTCAAATATTTTATTCCGTTTCTTGAATAAGCTTATAAATTATAGTTGTATTATTATACAATAAAAGTAGAATTTTAACATACAAACATGTTTGCCTAAAATAATAAAAAAGTACATTAAAATGTAGAGCCAAATATAGTTATAATGTAATAATATTTTTTTATTTAAGATAAATTTTAATAATATTCTTTTATAAGACTTCTCGTTGTATCTTATCACGATTTTCCGCATTCTGCTGCATATAAGCCTGTCTCGTTTCTAGATTCACGCTCGCGATAATATGAATCTCTCTGCCATGATTTTATCTTTATGTCTTACTTATTGTGCATCACAATTTCGAGTTTCTTATATTAAATAAGAAGGCGAGTGAATCGACTAGATTTTTGTCAAATTTTGACATTCTTTATTTTATTTTTACCACAATTAAAATTCTACTGTAATTAAAATATTTTTCGTTGACACTCATGTAATTGCGATGAAATAAATGCTAGTTGAGCCTTAAAAATTTTGGAAGCATTTTACACGATTGACTTGTTTCATTGTTTCTCAATTTTTCGATATTCGAATTCTTTTGCGTCATATTTATTTGAATTTATTTCGCTGAAAAAATAAGCAGCATCGCGAATATTGAAATCAACAAATCAACAAATTTGCGTACTTTAAATATTAAAGATCGATTATATTTATCCATGTACAAAGAATGTGAATCGCAATCTTTTATGAAAATTTAATATGCAAGGTTGCATGAAAAAATTCCCTCGTTCGCTATATCGTCGCCAGCACACAAACTTTAATTACTTATTTAAAAATGAAATGCGGCAGCTGTATTTAACGAGGCTTCGCTTCAGGCATTTCTGAGAAATGCACGATGTCAAGTGGAATAACCGCGCGACTACGTCGACATCTGTTCTCGCGAGGAGGTTCATGAAATATTAGCGCGCCAGTATGCGCTGCATATGCCGCATACGCTACTCACGAGTGCACGTAAGAAGTCTGCAGGGATGCACCTCTGAGGTGGACGGGGAAAAACAGCGTTGATTTATAGTCCTTCCTAGTTTGCAGGTGCGCATTAATTAACCATCGTATGAATCGACTTGTTCGACTGTGAATTCAGGATTCAGTATTTCCTGAATATATTCGCGCGATCTCGTTTCATTAGCGAGTAACGAGAGAAAATTAATCCCATTGAGATTCATAGCGCAACGAATTCGTATCGTGTCGCGTATGTTTTTTTTTATGCACGCGTTATAAATTTTTTTATTAGAGAAATGTAAAGTACAAACCGTGGAGGCACGATAGAGGAAAAAAAAAATCATGTCGCATACATGAATATATTATACATGAATATTATATCGAATCGCTCACTCTCTTCATTGATTAATCGTGCCGGCAATACTGACGTCAAGTGATAAAAAAAAAAAAAAGAAAAAATCTGTATTCCATCGAAAGAGTCGCGGTCGAGTGCAACCAAGTGGAGATAAATCGAAGCGCATGCATTATACATGAGGCGCAGTACCTGGACGATCTTCGTCATTTCTTGCATATCGATAACGCCGTTACCGTCCACGTCGTACATACGGAACGCCCATTTCAGTTTTTCTTCCGGTGTACCGCTGGACGTCACGTCGATCGCCAATAGGAATTCCTGCAACAAAAGCCGATGGTATCCTATATCAGTAACAGTGCAATATCGAAACTTTTATTTACCCGCTGCAAAGAGGCATTTCTCTTTTGTGCGAAAATCTATATTTTTCAACGTGTATTTATAACGCGCGTTGAAAAGAGGAGAGTCGTAATTCAAGAACCTCTATCGAAACCCCGAGAAATAATCCTCCGTTTGGAATGTGATAAAATTTTTCAACACACGCAATAAAATCGGCTAAAATAATCTTGACAAGAGAATCGAGAGAATCCACGTGAAAATTAAATTATGTATTTCGAATAAGTAACTATTGCATTTGAGGGCAGAAAATAGCGCGCGTTGAAAAGGGGAGGATCGTAATTCAACAACTTCTACCGAAACCCCGAGAAATAATCCTCCGTTTGGAATGTGATAAAATTTTTCAACACGCAATAAAATCGGCTAAAATAATCTTGACAAGAGAATCGAGAGAATCCACGTGAAAATAAATTATATATTTTGAATAAGTAACTAATCTCCAGATAGAAAAGAGCGTACGATGAACATCTCTTTGTTACGTCCGACAATCTCGTACATTGAATGTTCTAATTTTATTACAGCGGCATTTGAAGACGGATCTTGATTACTTTGACAAATCATTCTATAAATCTTAAGCAGTAAAAATGACTATAATCATTTCAACTGTCTCGTCAACAATCCCATCTTCGAATCTTCCAAAGATACGCTATCAATCATCTCGCGTCATCGGCGGATATATCGTGTAGAAATTATGGCTCTTTTTACGAGCCTCGGCTTCTCCGGCGCCCATTTACCGGGTGAAATCGCGTAAGCGTAAAAGCTCGCGGTCGTGATTCGGCGGCACAATGGCGGTAGTAATCGCGCGTCGAGCGAATTTGTACCCTCGGGTACCCTCGCCTCAAGCCGATACCTTTCGAGTCGTTAGAGAGGAGTAGCGTTCCAGGAACTGGGTCACCTGCCGCCCGAGGTAGACAAACGAGACGAGGGCTTCGCAGAATGGAGAATATAGCGGACGATGGAGGTAAGAGCTGGGCTCTTTGCTCTTCTTGACCTCTCAAATGTCGCCACTTCTCGTATTGACTTCAGCGAAAAGGAAAAGGAAAGAGAGAGAAAGATGCACCGAGCTATCCTCCTTTTTGACTAGCCTTAGGCTCGCACGTATTTTAGGTGCAGCTTACCTGCCAAGCTCGTGAAAGAGCCCGAGAAGAGCTCTGACATTACGAGAGGAACGCGACTCGTGTCGAGGAAAGAAAACATCTTTGTGATGCCATTAACCGGCCTTAGGGACATTACATTCATGAGAATAAATGCAACGCGAATGTTTGAGAGTGAGCCCAAGTGGTTTCTCTAAGAGTGAGAATTTTCCGAATGAGAATTTCTCGAATGGATGTTTAAAACGTCCGTGTTAATTGCATATATTTCATAATTTTTAATATATCTTAATATTAAATTTTTCTCCTCTTGATTAAGAATCTTAAAATTATCTTAAAATTATCTTATATTATTTTAGTAATTAGTATAAAATTAATATTTCCATATATATTTTGATATTTTCAGCTCTTTTCTTTAATATAATAAAAATATTTTACTTAGAAATTATTTTGTTTATTTCAATATAATTTACACATTTGATGATAAGAAAAATTGTATTCCACCATCACCAATATGTTATTTAAAATATAAAAATATTAATATATATATATATATATATATATATATATATATATATATACGTTTGATAATATAACATTTTAGAAACTATAACGTTAAATATAATTTCTTCTAAATTATTTGTTTGCGATCGAAATTTCTCAAAGTGTTCCCTTTAGGATTGCTTAGATATATATTGTTTAACTTAATAATTCATATCTTTTAAAAATTGATATCAGATGACAATTTCTGCATTTATAGAATCATGTATACGATATGATTAATTCAGACAAATATATAGAGGTGGAAAAAGACATATGGAACTAGTATAGAAGTAAGTCTTTACGTTTATATTAATAAAGCATTGGCTATTTAAGAAGTCAAAAGAAAATAAGTCGGAAAGAGACATAGAAGGTTATGCAAGTTTCCAAATCGTTAAATTAATTCATGTTACACATCATTCAAGTTTACGCATCAATTTTACCATCATTGAAAGTTTGTAACGCGTTTTATGCTTTGATATATCACAGCCTTATTCACTATTATTTCGAAAACGAACGAGCGGTTGGAAAAGTTTAAGAAAAGAATTTTTAACTATAAATGAAACAAGTTTTATTATGTGCATCATAATATTCTATTATATTCTATTATAATATCAATTTTATATTTGCATAAAGTAAAAATTTCCAATTAAAAACATGTATAAAAGTATGTATTATTTTTTCTGCTTTTTTCTCTTTTTTTACAAAATAAAAAGATTAATGCTGAATAAAGTTTTAAATATTTTTTGTCTCAATATTTTTTTTGATTCTTAAAAAAAAGAAATATTTATATTATATAAAATATCTGACTATATATTTTAGTATAAATTTGTAAATATATATTCTGTGTGAAATCTCGATTTTTCTTTAGAAAAACCAGACAATTTTAAGTAAAATATCCTTCAATATAGAAACATTCAACATAGAAAATTTTTAAGAAACAAAAATTACAAATATGAAATAAATTAAGAGAATAAGTGAAAACTATAAATGTAACAAAATGTGTATCGTAAATATTTTAGATAAATTCTCCTTTAATAAATTTACATTTCAAATTTAATCATTCAGTCACACTTAATGTTAAAGATTGAAAATGCTTTTATGAAATTTCCTATTTACGTCTTTATTTATGTATAAAAATTGGTTGAAAACGCAAAATGAAAAATTCAAGATATTTTCGCATCACTTGCTTGACTTGAGACAATCTGGAGCACAAATCATACTTGGTGATCATTTAATTAAGATAAAATGTTTTCTTGGCTTTTTGAGCGTCTTCCTCTCTTGAAAACAAGCGATCCAAAATCTCGGGAATCTCGAAATCAATATTATTGTTTTCTAAATGAAACCGTCAAAAGCAAACGGCGTTTATATCAAACAAAGGGTTGTACACAACATTTAAAAAAACAAAACTCTACAGATTTCCCCGAGGGGCTACTCTGTAACTTTTTTGTATTGTGCTTTGAATTATGAATCCATCAATTTGAATCATCCCTCAATGTATGCAGCACATATTATACCCTAAGTTTTGTTCGTGTTTTATGAACTGTAAATAAATCCGAATACACGTATATCTACATGTTTACATCATATATTCGTTAATTGAGTTGCACCACATGTTGAGAAATTTATAAATAAAATAATATGATCTATTTATCAAGTGGATGATTTATATTTGACGCAATTCTCGTATATAATTATAATATATCATAATTATAGCTAACATAAGTTTCATCAATCCATATGTAAAGAAATTTTTAAGGAAAAAAACTTTCTACATCTAATATAAAAACTTTCTACATCTATATAATTTATGAAAAGAGCAAATCCATCATATATGTACATGACAGGTATGCCGTTTAATTTCCGACGCACCTGTTATTTTTGCGTTGTTATTTTTAAATTATAAATATAAGTGATTCGTGCTAATGTATTTTTGACGTTCACAGTTGTGTTTTTAGAATTTTGCACTTTTAACTGTTGAAAATTTTAATTCAATATTATATCGCACAAGAGATTCAGTGCACAAATAGAGTGCACGTTTTAAGATGAGCTGTGTAGCCTCAAAAATATTGGAAAGCACAACTCATTGGATCGTTAGAAATGGACTTTTAAAATAAATTCTAGTGCTGCCCGACATTAATGGAAATGTAACTATTGGAAAATTGGGATCAAGCGCCCTTTAAGAAAGAGGAAAAGGTCAAGACTATTTGGGACTTAAGATTCAACAGAAAAGTCGAGAAAGTTTTCCGTAAAACGTGTACTTTTTTTTCTGCATTAATTATGTGACGTGCATATTTTACTATAACGTTAAGTTTTTCATATAATTATTACGAAAATAATTAAATAAAAACTTTTTAACATTATGTAACAAATGTGTAACACAAATAAAAAATATTTAAAAATTTGCAGTATATCTTTTAATTCTGTAATTTACAGTATATTGATCTCTCTGATTATGCAAGGATAAATGATGTTAAAAATTTGCTTAAATTTCTTTTGAAAATAATACAAATAAAAATTATAATTCTGAAAAGTACAATAGCAATATACGAATACGTTCTTCAACTTGCTTTTATAATTAACTCTATTTTAATTAATTTTATAATTTAAACAAGAGTTATGAAAAAGCAGACAGATAAATTGACGTTTTGCAAGAAGAAATTAATTCCAGCAAAATTATTAAAGTATCACAATTCATCTCAATATTGAGGTGGAATAAGTGCAAAATATTGTTTATATGGATAGGGAATAATTCTGTATCGAATAAAAAAAATCATGTTTTCGGGAAATATTCTTCCAAGATTAACTTTCGTGCTAAGTTTTTAGCGAGTTAGTCAACTTCTAGTCCCAAATAGTGCGTTCGAGTGCAACAATGCAATTACATGGTACGACACGTGAAAAGTTTCCGTCAGGGCAAAAGCATGAACAAAGTTTGCTCTCTTTGAAATCCTCGCAAATTCTCAAATAGGGGAATTGCAACGCCATTCGTGATAAAATGCGATATTCGCTGAGAGATTTAACATAATTTGTCGGGCATTAAATATCTTTGTTTCGATACTACGAGACGATTGAAATATTGTTATTAACCAACATGTAATATCAGTTTAACATCTTTTAATAAATTACGATTATTTTTCTATAAATCATTATACTTGATTCGATTGAGAGATCCAGATCTTCTTTAAAAATATCGATGAATATAAAAAAGTCTTATGTGATAATCGAAAAAACCGAAAAAACCACCTCTTGTCATATGTCATATGTGAAATACTATGCATACACATATTTGTACGAATAGCTTTCGGCGAAGAAACAGATATCGTTTAAGCGATGCTCAAAGGAACCGGAAAATATATCAATGTCAGGAAACTAAAGAATATTTATCGTGTCACTAGTAGTACATTTGGATACAGCTTTGGTTGAGTGAATACAAAGCAGTTTTTATACGAAATAGCTTTCGATTCTCAAGATTTTAGATACTGTCTGGAGAGAGCGATGAATGTATATGGAGCTCAAACCATTCGTAAATAAAGAAAGTTGCAAGAAAAGCTGAGAGATAACTGATGCGCGCCCATTTATCATTAATCCACCGGAAATGTTCGGAAAATAAAGTTTAATCCATGGATGTATAATTCTCTGGCTAAACCTCTAATGGCTCTTTAATATATGCTAGCCGTTCAAAGCCGTTTAGTTTATTGTTCCTTCTACAAATTTAATATATAATTAAGTAGAAAAGTTTCGCCCTTAAAAATTACATTTTTTTAAATAATAAAAAATTCTCTCAAAATCATTTCATTTTACAAAAAATTAAACGTTCATCATCTAGCCTTTTTAATCATTGTTCTTTAATCTAAATTTTATTTTAAAATTACAGATTCGAAAATAATACACATTAAGCGGGAAAACAAGATAAATAAAAAAATAATTTTTGTGGAAACTAAACAACATAAAAAGATAATTTTATTTTATATTTTTTACTTCGAGTTACTTTAAACGATAAAGAAAAATCAATCGATGTTTGAGAAAATGCTAGAAGATAAAAAATTAGATTTCGTCTCTGCCAATTTGTCTTTACCAAGATCACACAATTTGATCAATGGCCGTATAATATTTTCTCGCTCAGGAGAGAGACGGGCACATTCTTCCCATAAATTTCATTGCTTATTATTGCCACTATTACTATAGACTCGGCAACGACGTCTTGTGGAAGAGTCTTTGTCGCATCGAGGAAAGTTTTTCCCATTCAGCCGATATCACGAGGGTTAAACTCAGACGACGACTTTGTTCGGATTTTCCCCGGAGAAAAACGAGCGACACGTAACTGATATTATTATATCTCAAGTGAAGATGCGACGGGGGATGGATGGCGTCCATAAAAGTAAGAGCGGATTTTTGTCCGATTATTATAGGCTGCTATTCGCGTCGATACGATGACGAGAATCGAATGGAAACTATTGTCGACGGTGTGTACCTCGCCCGGTGCTGCTTATCTCGAAGGGGATGAAACTCGCGTGTATTTTCAACTATGTACCGGATTCCACAAATGTCTCTTACCGGATAATATTGATGGCGGCACAATACAATCGCGACAAGTCAAACTATCGCAATGCAGGTTTATTCATGAGTCGCTGGGAAAATAGGCGTTTAGAGATAACAAGAGTATGTTATATATAAAGAGAGAGAACTTTAGCTCGTCGGGCGAATTACAAGCTCTCACATCGGTGAAGCTTTGTTAAAACTTTATCATCCCACGGAAGCGTGAAATTTCTTAACTATCGCGCAACCGCGTAAGATATAACCGCAAGGCAGATTACATCTGCATCTGGTCTGCATCTATTAAATGTCGGCGTTGACTTGACTCAAATGAAGTTCGTATTTGCGATTTGAATATATTGTATAGTGGTACCGCTGTTTGCTTCGAATATTCGATATTATTCTTGATTTTAAATCTATTTTAAACAACTACTGCGATTCTTCTTTATCGGAGAAAACATTAAGCAAAAGATTTAGGGCTGATTTTATTTCTTTAGAACAAAACCAGCAAGGCAACCCAATACATAAATTATATAAATCTTTTAAGTATTAGGAATATGTAATCAGTAATAAATTTTACAAATAATAATACATTTTATATTTCTGTTTATTTTTAATAGACAATAAACTCTGGTGTGGAAATTTTAAGTAAATTTTATTTTTTGTAGAATTTTTTATCGAGAACTGAATATCAAAATATTTATATTGGAAAATAAAATAATAATCCTCCATAAAATTTTATCGTTCACACCATCAAAAAAGAAGCATCAAAAAACGCATTTATCGCATACAAACGTTGTAAAACTGATATCATTTAGTATATAAAACACATAAATTTTGTATTATACAGAGAATTTTTCTAGATGAAATGAAAATCAAATAATTTATTATAAACTTAACAATATTTTATAGAGATCGCATGTTAGGTAATCGACCTACTCCGTAAATTAATATGAAATAACTAACTCCGATAATTTCATTAGACAAAATGCATTTCCATCACGCCTCTTTGTGAAGGATATAAAATTAAAATTGTCTCAACGCGGCATAAATATAACCGTTATTATTTTTAGAACCTCTTTTATGATAATTCTTAAATTAATAAAATTGTGATTTGTCCATACAATTTTTTCCGATTTTATGCCGATCTTATATATTTTATAAACAATTAACATTCCAATTATTTGTAAGAGATGTGAAAAATTATGGCGCGAGACGCGAATATTTTAATATGCACGCGTTTCGTTCTCTGGCAGCTTTCACGATTAATTATGAGGATCGCACCAAGGACAGCGTGCTAGCTATTCCGAGATTAAAAACTACATAGCAAAGGGGATGAACTTTGACCGCGGGAAGACAAGGTCGCGACGACGGTAGCTGCAAAGTCGGACGCGTTGAAGGATGCCTTTCTGTGGCGAATAGTGTACCTCTAGCGAGGCTTTGATCAGCGAGGCGATGCAAAACCACCTGCCAAAGCGCGACGTTAGACAAAGCTTCGAGTTTTACCCGACGTATTCGGGTCAGATATCAAATAGCTATTCGCCGGTTGGCGAACACGACGCGTTGTAATCTTTAGCGAAGCATATTAAATTACCGGCAAACATATCGAAACCGACTGAGAATATCTGCGAGCTGTGCTTGCAGACAGAAATGAAGGCGACGTCTTCAAAAGCACTCCTCTCGGGGAATTCCAAGTTTCGCGTAGAATCGCGTGATTACAGGGAATGAGATGAGATTACTAGAGAAAATGATGCTAGTTGAATTTGATATATCCAAGTAGCATTACTAAGGACTCGAATGATTATTTACGAACATAAATTTTCAATTATGGAGAGTAAACGGAATATCACGGGTATAACTAGAAAAGAATATATGATTTAAAAATCTCGACAAGATTTACACCATCGCATTTCGAGCGAATATTTCGCACTTGCTTGCCAAGACGTATAATCCCGTATTATGTATCTTCTCGCATATTGTCGGTCGATCCTTTTCTCGCGACACAGATTATATTTTTGATAATTTTTTCCAATATTCGTAAATTTTCCATATTACATATATATTCTGTATTATATGTCTGAATTTTGTGATATTTCCACGTCGTAGAAGCACAATCTCGACGAAAGTATTGTAGCGTCTAACACGTTTCTTCGAACCAATCAACCGTCAATTTTGTTGGCGACGATCGTGTTTAATCACGCGGAAAGATCGACATGCGACGAGTACGGTCGCCCGACGTATCTTTGGAAAATCCGTCGCGCCGCGAAAGCACGACGGTAGTCATTACACGGCTCGTTACATGGGAGCCTGCGCAATTTCAAAATGCTGTAAAGAACTCACCTTAAAATCGATGTAGCCATTCTTATCCATGTCGAATGTGCGGAAAACATGATCGCAGAATTCCTCCGCGTTGCCGGACGGGAAGAACATTTTGTACATGTCGACGAATTTCGCCGGCGTTAACCTGCCGTTAGGACAGTCTTGCTGTAACATACGAGGGAATGCAAGATTATAGAAATTCTCAGAGTTATTAGAGTTATTAGAATTTTCACGAGCGCAAAGATTCATCAAGTTTTCGCTAGAAATAAAATCGATCGGCAAGCATTCGCAGAATATACCTTAAGAATATACCTTCTCCATAAATTTAATCTAAGATTTATCAAGTATAAAAATATATTAATTCGTCTCTCGAAGTAAGAATATTCGTAACTAAAATTACATCACATCTAAATTTAAGGATTTGATTAAAATGCTTTTCCGGATAATCGATTGGGAGGTACTTGTCTTGCCTGGTTAAGAGAGAGATTTAAAAAAAATTGCATTCGCATTAAGAATATATTTTCTCTATAAATTTAGTGTCTAACAATAAGATTTATTAAATATATAAAAATATATTAATTCGTCTCTTGAAATAAGAATATTCGTAACTAGAATTACATCGCATCTAAATTTAAGGATTTGGCCAAAATGTAGCTATCCCTTTTCCGGAGAATCGATCGGGAGATATTCGTCTTGTCTGTTTAAGAGAGAGATTTTGAAAAAAATTGCGTCCTTTCGTTTCGATTTTTTTTCTGTATCAGATTATTAGCCCTAATGCAGCGTCATTTATCTTGACGTTTTTAAAACGAGAGAACGTATACGTGGTATCATCCCCGTGATATTTCTCAATCTTCCCTAATCGCGTTTCTCTGCTCCAAGATCGATACGCGTAATCGGTCTCTATTTATTTCAAAGTTGCGCGCATCGCGCGAAAACGGCTAAACGCGACCAAGTTACGGAACGTTCATTAATGACTCCGCTTAGTTTAATTAGTTAGTTGCAGACGCCACGCTGAATTCTGCTTCGTGCCCGTTTAAATTGCCTGAGAAAGTACGTGCGCAACTTTTCCGCGGCATTGGCAGCTTCCGCGAGAACGTCACGTTCTATTCACTCGTGCTGCGGCTCGTGTGAGTCGATTCTTCCCGAAGCTTTCTAATCGAGATTGATTCATCTCGTAGAGAGAATATACTGAAATGTGATGAAATCCTATTCACCAAACTTCCTAACATGTTTCCTATAAAAGTACTTGACGCGCTAGGTATTTGAAAATAATCCATTCTAGATTTTTAAACTTTTAAACGAGAATTTATTGCGTCCGGCGAATATGTTAACGCGTACATACAAGATGAAATTTCGATAGTTTGCACTTGTTGCAATGATGTAATGCACTGTCGAATTCGTTATTTGTTATCGAAAAAATACATACCAAAATTATTTTTTCGAAATAATTGTTATAATTGCTGATTACTTTCCAGCTCTGTAAATTTATACACAATTAGTGTACACATGAGATACATTATACATACTGTATACATAAGATAATGTTTTAATTAGATCTAACAGTGTCATCAAATCTATCATTTATGCGGCACGTATGAATTTATTGAATATGAATATTTAAGACACATTATTATAACGTTCATCGCGGAAATATGGGTGAGTAAGCCAGTTTTGCATAGAACGTGTCAAATATCTACTGAATAAATTAATAACTGCCATACAGAATATATAAATAAGTACCAAAATTAACTTTAATTACATTCATTAACGTGACACAACATCACAATATACTATAATAATATAATGATATCAATTATTAATCGCATCAATTATACGCGAACCAGTTTTTAATTATTAATAACAGCATAAGGCATTGAAACTTGTGATTCGATAAATACAATCATATATCGTACAAAAAAATAGATCTTTTGAGTTTTTATAAAAAGTTCAAAAATGTCGAGGCTCAAATTTATTATTAGTTTCTTATTATGATTGAATTTCAAAAAAGAAAGCCTCGTAATCAACCTATCGCGAAAAGTGTTGGAAGAATACATCTAAAAAAATACTGTTATATTTAAACTGAACGAGAGATTTCGTGACTAACGGAATGAGCTACGGATGGATAAATTCACCGCTCGTGAATTTAACCGCGCGGATTCTGATTTATGAAGTTTCATAACCGTTTCGTACGAGTTCGTATTACCCCTGTTCAGCTTCTTTATGAGGGAAAATTTCCTGGAGTGTCGCTTTTTCGCGTTTGGCTGCGCATGCTCATGAAATATCGCAGCTTGTTTAATGTGGCATAATTGCGGATACGAATGGAGCTGCTTTATTTACTCTATCACGTACGCGTGCAATATTTATTAATGCACTCGTGCAGGTTTTGTTTACATTCGCCTTTATAAATTTCTCTATGTAATTTTCTATTCATTTTTATTCTCATAATGCAAACATCATCGTATTAATTAATGGTGATTATTATCCTTTTTCGATAGAAAATTATGATTTAACGTGAGGATATTTTCGTTTGTACATAGATTCAATCTCTACAAATTTAAAATATACTCTCCAATAAGATTTATAAATGTAAATTAACAATAATTTCTTTATAAATTAATACTTAATTTTTGTAAATACATATAATTTTTCTCATATACAACATGTCTTCGTTTTTAATAAAACTTTACAACTCGATTTTTAAAAGTTTTGTAATAAATCAATATACAACTATAAAAATTTCTTGCTTTCAATATTTTATCTTTACACATCATAAATGTAAAAATTTACGTTAATCTTTATAATAAAAGAGAGAGAAGAAGGAAAGGAAAAATAGAAAGATTGATAAAAATATATAACTAGTTAATTATTTAAGAAGTATGTACACATTATAATAAAGCATTAAAAATCTTCATGTCACCCACATATGATGAATTATTCACTCATCATCTTTTAATATGTTATCAACAAGAAATTATAATTATAATGTGTTCAATGAAAGTCACTTCCTGTCAGTAGCATGCTTACCTTCATTTATCGTGTTTATATCTCATTACTGTGTTCTTGTCCACAGACAAACAATGGAAGTATAATATATAATGATATAATAAGCATTCTAACAATAAGTCATATATAGATAAAAATAAGTTGAATGCTCTCAGAAACAGAAGATAGAAATTAAAACAATTCCTTGTACGTATTAAAATACATACACGCGTTGTATAAAATGACAGTATCATGCAAATAGTTATATGATGCAAAATATAACAAAAAATCAATTGACCTCGTTGTAATAAAATTGAGAGAGAAACTAATTTTTTAACGAGATGTTTGATTTTTTTCTATGAATACACATATCTCATAACAATCAATACTCACTTTAAAACCTTTGTACCATTCCTTTATAGTGGCTTCATCGTATCGCGTGTGCGACTTGAGGAAGTCCATATCTTCCTTGCTCAACTTGTCTTTGCTCCCAAAACAACCCATTTTGATACCTACAACAATTAATAAAATATTTCATAAGGACTAACGTTCGATGATATAAAATAAACAAATAAAAATATTTTTGCGATGCACAATAAACAAAATTATTATTTGTGTTTCTATAGACTTGATCTAATTTCTTTCTAAAAATAAGGTTTATTTTTTTAGCTATTTCGTTTCATATATTTCAAACAGTAATATTATATACTTTTTATTTAAAAATATCAAACTTTACATGATGATTTTTTATTCAGTGATTTCGTTCAATTAATACGATTCTCGCAAGCATAATAAAATTTTCGCGAGTCGATCAGACTTGCGTGCAGAGTATATTAATGTTAGAGAATTTATGTCAATGACATTGGACGCACGTACAAGTCATAAATCCATAAAATAAATTAGATATTTAAATAAATGACTTTCCTAATCTTTTTTCTCACTTTCTTATTCCAAGTTTTAACAGAAAAAACGTTTGTATAAGACCCTATCAGTATATAATAAGTAATAAATTGATATTGTAAATATTTTTTAAATTAATATTTAGAAGAGATGCTGTCAATAAATATAAATATTTATTATATATATATATAAAAGTATTTTAAATAATTTAATTTTTCGTGTTATCAATTATATTTTATTATTTTTTGTTTATAGTAAATTAAATTAATATATACAAAAAATTATTTTGAAAAATTCTGTTTTAATAAACAATAAGTAATTGACAATAAATCAATATTGTTAAATTATATATTTAACAATTAATGCATTCGAAACTTGACAATAGCTTGTAAATTATAATAAGAAAATGATTAGAATTCTAAGATTATAATTTTCTTGTGTAATTCCATATAAAATGAATTCTATATTTCCAATAAGCATTAATGAGAGAACATCTTGTTTACTCCTGAAAAAAAATATTACTTGAGTTAATTATCTTACTAGCGTTTCGTTCGCAAGCGAAATGAAATTTTAATCTTCTTTAGAGGAAAAACAGAATTTTTCATTGCAAAATAGACTTAATTTTTTCCATATAAGAGAAACTAGGCATTAAAACTCCATTTTTGCTCATAGTGCGCTACTAGAACGATGAATATCCAGAGACTAGCAGATTTCTTGCGAGAGATTTCGTGAAAATATATATAATTGACGCTTCGTGCAGCAATCTTCTGTAAGGCGACATGAAACCGAGCGATCTTGATAACAACCGCGGAAGTTCTCGTTATGTGATAAGAAGCCGTACGCAATTTTCGTGATGTTATATACTGAGGCACGCACGCATGCATTTAATGCACGTAACGCACGCAATGCACGCTCATCGATTGCACCCTAGACCCCGAAATTCGACATTGCTATAACCGGCAGGATATCGAAACTGAACGCGTGATCGGAATGACAATGATATATATGTGTATACATGCATGATCATGCGCGTTTCAAAAAGGATAAACGAGCAAAATGTCTTTCAATAACTTTCACAATTAAAATTAATTTCTGTATCGTGTAAAAGGGGCCGAAAAAATTTTTTATGAGATTTTATTTAATTCGCTCGACTGTAATAATTTATTTCGCTATAATCTTTCAATATGCAATTAATATTTCCCCATTTATTTGACAGCAATTGCAGGATACGTTTGCTTTCATTAATTAAATTAGCGGTTTCTTCACATCATCTTTAACATTCTTAAGATTTTTAAAAAATTATATTTAAAAAAATAGATATATTTTTTTCTTTCCAAATAATTATGCATATTCTCCATTTGTGTGTTAATTAGTGTGTATTCCATAAAGATTACATTGAAATGAAAGCTTGTAAACATCTTTGCCTTTTAATTTATGAATTTTACATTTAATTTTCCTCCTTCAATTTTATAGTTGTAATATAATTTCGTGTTTTTGTTCTCGTAACTTTAATCAAAGGAAATTTGTCTTTACTATCAAAGGAAGGAAAATGTGTCGCTTACTGAAATGGATTCAATATCATAATGCAAGAGTTACTCTTTGTGGGTAGTCTCGGTCCATCTCCGACAAAGAGATTTATAATTAAACGCGACTAAAATTACGCAAATGGCTAGCAAATAATTTTAGCCGCGTATCTAATTATAAATTTGAAGCTGGGTGAAAAATAAACGCGGTCAAAAACGGCGATACCCGATATTACGTTGACTCACCTAGAAAATAATACGTTATTTTCTCCAGCGCCACATTAAGCGATTATCGAATTTTCGATAACAGGCGCACAAATAAAAATTACAAAGATTATAAAGATCGATACCGCTCTTCTGTATCTAAAAGTGCACGAGTGAAATGTTTAACTTTTCGTGCCAAGATCTTCAAAGGCGCAACATCTACATGAACAGAAGCATTTTATCACTGTCGGATAACCCGACGCGAATGCAAATACTAAAGAGGAATGAAGAACGCTAACCGTTTAATATGTCAAGGTTCAATATGTGACTAGTTCTTTAACATGGATAGTTTAAGGATCTTGATATGAATTAATTCCAAGAATGTACAAATAGATATAACGAGACATTCGGCAATTTCGATTCTCTTGCAGCAAAATACACCCACGAATATTCCGTCCGATGGAATTAGACGCGCTGACATTGAACGCCGAATTAAACGGCGGTCGATGGCGCAGCTGGAATTTTGAGGGACACTCAAACGCTCCGGGTGAAATAGGTGCGCCGTGCTCGTGACCGGCTTGACAACGACACACTCGTTCGTGACCGATCGGTCAGTCGAATGGTTCCCCCGGTGCCGCCGTGTTTTATTCCGTAACCGCGAGACACTCGGTGGCGTCGTCCCGAGTCGAAATGCAAAACACGTAAACGTAATTAACGTCCTCCCCGTCCCCCCTCGGCGGCGCCGACGAAACGTCGATGAAGTCGCGCCCGGCTATTTACGAGATTAAGCGCGCGCGGATGAAGATTAACGGAGAGGCCGTCACGAGAGAAATGCTCCGTATGTGTGTACGTGCCCGAGTTTCGGGGGAGATCGTTGATTATTCCACGGGGCGAACTACCACTCGAGTTAATGCGCCGTGGTCGGCTCTACCTTTTGCCGGGGAGCTTAAAGTTCTCGCTCCTGCGAAGAAATTATATGCCCGAGGCCGATGCCGCTGCCGTTCCTCGAGCGAACGGCGCTTGAAACTGTTGCTAAGAGAAATTACGTGTACATTCGCCGTATATTAATTCCCCGTCGTGGCAAGTTTTCGTTGCTCGAAAGTTTTAACGCAACGTGAAACCAACCAGGATCCCGCCAGAAAGAATTTATCGGTCGTGTTCTAGATGAGGAAGAGATTATAGTTGCTAATGCACCGTTTTCTTCTTCTCCTTGCTTGATCTTTACAAGGGAACTTTGGTAAATGAGTTGAGAAACTTTTGCCCGAAGGAGAAAAAAAATATGCCGGTAACGTCTTTAAGATATTCCTAAATGATTTAAATAAAACTATTGCGGAAGAATGAAACAAAAGATATTTTTATTGTATATTAATTTTGCCATAATATTGCTTTTTAACAAAAGTAAAATAACGATGCTAGAGAGAAATTAGTAGGATTTTAGAGATGAGAGAGAGAGAGAGAGAGAAGGGAGGGAGAGGAAAATTATAATTGCTAATGAACTTGCTTTTACTTTTTTTGCTACACTTGCTGCTCGAGAACTCGGTAATTAAATGAAAACTGTTATTACAGAATTAACATATTTATATCCCCACGATTCTATCGCTCTTAGAGATATCATTAAGAGCACATTTCAACAATTATATTCATTATTTAAGAAAAAAAATAAAGTCGTAAGGTCAAACGTAATAATTCCGTTTTTTCGTAATGATAATCATTCATTATCGCTGTCATTCGTTATAATAACATGCCATTAAGCATTCCTCTATTATACAGAAGAGTTAATGAAGAGAAAATGGCTCAAGAGTGATTTCTCAAGGACATTTTAATCTCAAATAAACTGATTAAAATTTTATAAAACGCCAAATAATGCACGAGAGAGACGAATTTTTCTCTCCTTTCTTCCTTCTCTCTCTCTCTCTCTCTCTCTCTCTCTCTCTCCAAAATCCTACACTAATTTCTCTCTAGCATCGTTATTTTATTTCTGTTAAAAAGCAATATTATGGAAAAATTAATATACAGTGAAAATATATATCTTTGTTTCATTCTGAAATAAATTTTGATTAAAATTTTATAAAACGCCATATAATGCACGAGAGAGACGACAATATAAAATTTGATTTCAGATGGAAATATAGTGAAAAAAACATCCAAATGACTTTTTGCGATCCCTTCATATAATTAAAAAAAAAAGAATAATTGTTTTCATCTGAATTTCGTGATATTATTATTATTATAAATAATCATCGTCGCTGCAAAACTCTAAAAAACGCAACGCGGATATACGTTAATACATATTAATTTAATCGGAATATCTCTCCGCGCTTCACGAAACACGTTGCTATCATTCATCTCTCCCGCGAGGAACGAGACGTTGCCATGGAGCATCCGTCGTAAAATGTATGCGATGCACATGCGAGGAATGTTTATAACGCGAGTATCGCGCGTCTCTTAGCATCGACAACTGCAAAGAATTAACGGCGGAACGTCCGGCTGCGCGCGTGATGCATTGGCATCGTTATTGTCGTCATCGCGACATAAATTCGCGTGCATATACTTATATATCTGCGTGTGGAAACATGAGAAAATGCCGGCGTGTCCGTCGTGTCCGTGTTTATTACGTGAACGCGACTCCCTTTGTTTTGCGCCCGTTGTTCCTCCAGTGGCCGTGGCTTTATTGTACTCGTGCCTTTATTATCTCCGTTTCAACGAAACGTTACTCCAATATGCGAGTAAATTAAGTGTATCTCGCACACACACTCTTCGCTCTTTTCGTGTACAGGCGAGCTATAAGGACGGCTATTCAACATTGTGGTTCGCGACGAAGTGAATTGGCTTGCACGTTTAACTTGTCTGAATTGAATAAATAAATAGATAAAAGAGATACGTGT